GGCGATTTCAATGTGCATTTTGAATCTGAATCGGACGCTAATCTTGCAGATTTGATGTATCTCACTTCTTCGTTTGGTCTGGAGAAAACCATAACTGAGTTTACAAGGGTAACTCCTGGAAATAAACCCAGTTGTCTAGATAATATTTTCACCAATATCAGTCAAAATGATTATGTCACAGGGATCGTAGAGCCGTGTCTATCTGACCATAAGGGGCAAATTATTAACTTGAAGAATTCTCTTCCTTCAACATCATGTTCTGTACAGATGAAAAGGATAATAACAAATGCAGGTATCGCTAGATTCAGAAACGAATTAACTAATGTCGAGTGGAATTTAAACTTCGATGGTGTTGAACTGAGCACATACGATATTAACAAACATGCCGAAAGTTTCACGTATACTCTAAAGTCCCTAATAGAAAGCTCATTCCCAATAAAGAACTGTAAATCAAAAAATTATGAACCAGTTAAATGGTTCAACGAGGAATTGAAAACCATGAGAAAAACATTGGAATCCGCTAAAGTTATATGTGATGTAACAAATGATCCTAAAGATCATGATGTATATAAAATATTGAGAACCCAATACAGAGAAAGGATAACAGAGACAAAAAAACATGCTTATAATAATTATTTATTGAATTCAAATAACCGAATTAGGGATTCTTGGAAATTGATAAATTATGGAAGGAATCATTCTCGTAAAGAAGCCGTTCAGAGTTCTATCGATGTAGATGAATTCAATAGTTTCTTCTCAAATGTAGCCGAAGCGATAATCAAAACTTTACCAGACTATGACCTCGATCTCGACAAATTATTTCGAAAAATTCCAACGACACTTGATTCGTTCTTTCTTGAGCCCATATTGAGTCAGGATGTAATTGCTGCAGCTACATCCCTCAAAAACTCACTTTCCATGGATATATTTCAGATAAACACCAAACTATTGAAACACTCAATTGATCTATTGGCAACGCCTCTAACCGATCTCTACAATATGTGCATAGTTGGAGGAGTATTTCCTGATATCTTCAAATACAGTAAAGTTGTTCCAATTCATAAATCTGGCGATTTGAACGATCCTGGAAATTTTCGCCCCATATCTGTGATTCCGTTCCTCGGAAAAATTTTTGAAATTATCTTAAAAAATCGCTTATCAACCTACTTTGATAAATTCGAAATTTTACATGAGAACCAGTATGGATTTCGTAAAAACCGATCCACTATTCAGGCAATTTCGAGGGTAATAAACAACATTGTTGAGGGCTTTGAGGGCGGTTGCCAAACTTCTTTAAGTTTGTGCGATCTCAGCAAGGCCTTCGACTGTGTTAACCACGAATTACTGATTGATAAATTACGACGCTACGGCATCAGGGGGAAACCATTGGACTTGTTGTTCACGTATTTGACAAATCGGAAGCAATGTGTTAGCCTAAATGAAAAAACCTCTGATCTCGAAGATATAAATCATGGTGTACCCCAAGGCTCTGTCTTGGGGCCACTTTTATTCATCATCTATATCAACGATTTTCTCTATCACATGGAACCCAAAACTTGCATTCTATTCGCAGACGATGCAACGCTAATAAACTCCAATCCCACCAACACTTGCCACATAAATTCTACTCTAACTTCGGAAAAGGAGGCCGAATACTGGTTTTCTGCAAACAAGTTAAAACTCAATGATAGCAAAACAAATCGCATTACATTTTCATCGAAAGTCCACCACGGAGACACTGTCAAACTTCTAGGAGTTACTCTTGACGATTCATTAAACTGGTCAAAACACATAAGAATACTTTGTTCTAAACTTTCCAGTTCGATTTTCATCATGAGACAACTGAGAAGAGTGATCAATATAGAAGTTCTTCTGACTATGTATTATTCATTATTTCATTCTCATTTATCGTATGGAATAATCTTATGGGGAAATTCTATGGATTCATTCAAAGTCTTCAAACTACAGAAAAGAATAGTAAGAGTTATCGCGAATGCTGGATATAGAGACCACTGTCGGCCTCTTTACCAACAATATAGTATTATGTCATTACCATCCCTTTATATATACCATCAAGTGCTGGAAATCCATAACAATAAGGATAAACTACAACTTAATTCCCATTTCCATGATTATAATACTCGAGGTTCAGGCCAAGTTAGGCCCCCCCGGTACAGGTTGGCAAGATCTTCAAGAAACTCGCTCAACATAAATCTATATAATCACCTACCTACTCATGTTACAAACATGGAGGCTAATAAATTCAAAAAATGGGTGAGACAATTTCTGACAAAATCATGTTTTTATTCTGTATCAGAGTACATAGACTCCCCTCCGTCATATGACCATCGTCACTGACCACAAAATATTCCTGAAAATATCATTGTCCTGGAAATATCTTTGTTCCGAAACTAGTCTGTGCATTATTTGTTTAGTATCGTCTTTCTATCTGTATTTTTATCTATATTATTTCTTTGTATGTAACTTGTTAACACACTTGATATCTCATATATCACGAATCACTCAGTTATCGACTTTTAACCTGACTTGCTGCAAAATGTGTATACATTAACGTGGTCAAATAAAGTACTTACTTACTTACTTACTTACTTACTTACTATATCATTATTCTATTCTTATTCATAATTTTGAAAATTTTTAAGACTACCACATTGGTTGAAAAAAATCTACAGGGACTCTCGCCCTGATACAGGAAAAACGTTTTCAAACGAATAATTATTAAATACTTTATCTGTAGGTTAATTGAGGAGGTGGTATATTCATTATTCCAGATCTGAATATACGTGTAGCGAGGACAAACCAGATGGTTTGACCCAAAATGCTTTTGAAACATTATCTATCATAGAGCCTATGAGAAAAACTCATTGGCTTGTCAGTGACACTTATTTTTGAAAAAGGTTTGGAGAAGAAAAATTCGATAATTTTTCTATGTACCTAACTATATCTATCAAGTGTCACTGACAAGCGAATGAATTTTTCTTTCAGGCTCTCTGATGGAACATTTTTTAGGCACTGACATTTTGGGGCAAACAATCTGGTTTGTCCTCGCTACATGTACCTATATTTGAATAATACTCATATTTTAATTTCATAGAGATGAGGAGAAAATACCAAGAAGCCTGGAATAATAAATAATTACACAACAATTTAACGAGATATAAATTTATTATATTTTTGTAGAAGACATTTCTCTTTGTGCCAACACTTTTAGTTTGACAATTTTCAGGAACTTTTCATGAAACATCAATGAAGAGCGGATTCATATCTTAATTCATATTCAAATTATTGAAAAAAAAATATTCCTTGTGATGAGACTGATGAGTATTGTTTAAAAAATCCTGAACTATTATGTGATATTGAGTTAAAGTAAACTTTTAAAAGTAGTGATGAATATTTTGTGTATGAATGATAGGTACTTGATTTTTTTAATAATTAATAAGTATGTTGTGTGATTGATATCTAGATAATTTGAGGAACTGTGATGATAGTCAAAATTATTGATGAACGAGGTTGATCTGTTTTTCAATAAATTGTTGGTCAATACAGCAAACTTTATCAAAACATGATGACTTGGTGGACTTTCTCGAAAGACATTCTGTTGACTATATATCATAATATACTGCATTGAAATGTGTTTGAGAAAACTATTCTCAAGATGAATAAACACATGAACAATACATATGTATTGGTTCAATTAATTATAAGGGTGAAAGCAATAATTTATAATATAGCTTAATTTTAAATTGAAGAATACTTGGTGTCATCAATAGTGTAGATATTTTGGGAAACTGTATCTTTAGGTACAATGTTTATTGACATTAATGTCTAACATCGAAATATTTTCTGGAGTTACTATGATGGGTATTTTGACATATGGTGTGTACGAAAGGGAAACATCGTGCGCACCTACGGGGGATAGGGAGAGGAGATAGATGTTGGAATTTTTTTCAACTTTTGGAGATTGTGAGTTCTTGGAAATACTTCCTCAGGCAATGAATTACAGAGCTTTCCCGTTCTATAGAGAAACGAGTTTTGATATTAGTGGTGTTTATAGTTTAAATGCTTACAGATCAGGAAGATTACAAGAGTCTGCTGATACAAATTTTTCAAGACAGAATTTGTACAAATAGGTGGAGTGGGGGGAATCAGTGATATACATTGGTGTTGTCCTTGTAAGTAGAAGGGTATCAAAGGAAGAAAGTACCTCTACTCACCATTTTTGAAAATTATTGAGGAATTAATATGATTCATTGCTTATGCATGGCAGGGATATCAGATATTTGCTAGGTCAATTTATCTTAAAGATTTCAATATTTCTGAGAGCATGACCTTTCTATTGGTTGAATATGGGTTACTGCTGTTCTTACTCTAGTGTGATTTTCTCTCAGTTCGAGATTTTTAAGACTGGCAAGAGGAACATTAGATGGTGTAGGTTTCAACCATTTTGCCTCAGTATGGGTATTCGATTAGACAGTTCTGCGCAGTTGTGAATAAACTCTAAGCTATAGAGACAAACAGTAACATGACTACAAACTTCTGACTGCCCAGCCATGCAGGTGCAGTGGGCTGTATTTATTCCTTCATCACATCCACACAATACCCAGTGAGGGTAAAGTTATTCTTTGAGAATGATTCACCTATGAATACATCAAATATTTAACGGGTATCAATTATCCACTCATAGTATGACTACCATGCGTACAACAACAAACATGCCACTGATTTTCTTCACTCCACATATCTGTACAAAACCTGCTCCAAAAAACTTATACCCACTCAAATTTGTATGAGCTTTCCTCTACTCTGCAGTATAAAAACTATGAGTTGACACTAAATATGTCAAGATATCTATTGAAGTGACTCCAGGAAATATCTGAGCCTTGGTCATTATTCTGCAGAGAATGGGGGTCAATAGAATCAATGATTTTGATTTTATCTTTGTATCGCTCTACAATACCACCACCAGAAATCTCTTATTTCAATGAATATTCACTTTAATTCATGATGAAAATTACAATGATATCGATATCAAAATCAAAGCACAATCAGTGACGAAGAGTCAGAAACTTAAGAAGCGTGTAAGGAGAAGAAGTACATTTTTGACGTTTGAAGTACAGACGGAAGTGAGGCGAGGACAGTACATTTTAGGTCACGGGTTCTGGAATACCAAATACTAGCGAATCTTTGGAACCTCAAGGTTATCAGAAGGTTATAAGGTAATATGAAGAAGGAAAATATCTTTTCTTCGTGAAAAAAAAACAACTTTCAACCTAACTTTTTCTAAATAAACCTTATTCCTGAAAAGTATATTCTTTAAAAACTACTCGCTTTACTCATAGAAATATTATGTGTTGTGGGTGACGTCATTTGACTTCGATGTTTCAAAGATTCACTGGTATAGCTAGACGCTTGTGATAGTTTTTCGAGAGTTGACAGTCTGGTTTGGTGGCGATTCGAATGATGGCACGTCCTGTAGAACTGACAAGATATATCAAGCAAAACTTCATTTATTGCATCAAGCATTCACGAGACGATGAGTTATTAGCTCAAAGTTGCGAAGGTATACGTTCCAATATGTCAAATCAACATCAGACGCACCCTTCTGCATTCGCATCAATAAATTATCACTCATCTGTGCTCTTGCATAGAATAGACTAGATAAGGCGTTCAACAAGTTCCTCACAGCGGCGACTGCTCCCTAAGCCCCTCACTGTGCATCTTCTTCCCCACCAACTCCAGCATCACCTTGCTCTCGGTGTTGCCGTCCAGGACGCTCATTCCCGTCCGCTCCCCTTTCTCCTGCGGCGTCGGAGGCGGCTGCCCCAGCCCCCACACCTCCAGGTGTCTGAAGGAGAAGTCTTTCGAGTGCGACATCTGCTGGTAGCCGGTGTAGGTCGTGCACGACTGGCTGGTCTCTCCCTTGCCGTACTCGCTGTCTATCCAGAGGCCCCAGTAGCCGTGCTGGCCACCCATTGCCTTGAGAAAAATCGAGAATCGCATTCAAGAAAGTTAAGCTGAATGCTCACAATGGAGTTGTACACAGTAGTCGAATATTAATAATATAATGATAATAATTTATTTTCGGAATCAGAATAATTACAATTGACAACATCATTTTCAAAAGAAAGAACTGAATTGAAAATAAAGAGAAAATCCCACTGAAGTCTTTCGACTACACCTTTTTCGATTGTAATTCAGAAAGTGTAACTTGTAATTCAGATTAGTAAAATGTAAGTCAGAAAGTGTAACTTGTAATTCAGAATAGTTGATTGTAATTCAGACAGCGTCAATTGTAATTCATATCAGTCAATTGTAATTCAGAATCCATAACATGTAATTCAGATTAGTGAAATGTAATTCAGAAAGTGTAACTTGTAATTCAGAATAGTCAATTGTCATTCATAAAGCGTAATTTGTAATTCAGAAAGCATCACTTGGACTCAAATAAGGGTAGGGAATAGAAATCAACGAATGGTTTATTGTGTGGCGAACATCAATATTTTAAATTTATCGACCAACAGGTATATCTTGAAATGCCAGAGCTGCAGCATGGTGAATGGTGGTGTGTTATGCAGCCATAGCACAATCACCTCCAACAATTGTATCTTTGGCCTGGTCAATATTCTGTTCAAGATAAACAAGTCGTTGTTCTCCAGTGATCAGAATTCTGCAGAGTGGGCAGGTCGCATCTAGCATACTTCTCAATGGTTGAGCACAATTTTCATGGAAAAGATGCCGACACGGTTCGATTCTGATTACTACTATGTAAACCTGGAGTCATTACATTTCGGCAAATTCCACAATTATCTTTGAAATTCATAATCTCACTTGTATGTGATAAAACAACAATATCCTGACCGTGACCAGTGAAATTCTTCTCAATTGCAATTTATTTGACATTTATTTAATATTTCGTAGTTACTTTGACATGATAACATGGCTTTGATTGTTGGTAACTTGATTTACATTAAAGTCTCAAGGAGAATGGATACATACGGGTTATTTCTACATAGTTTCTGAATCATAAGTGATACTTTCTGAATTTCAAGTTATGCTTTCTGAATTACAATTGACGGTTTCTGAATTACATTTCACTATTCTGAATTACAAGTTACACATTCTGAATTACAATTAACTATTCTGAATTACAACTTATACTTTCTGAATTACAATTGACGGTTTCTGAATTACATTTCACTATTCTGAATTACAAGTTACACATTCTGAATTACAATTAACTATTCTGAATTACAACTTATACTTTCTGAATTACATCTTATACTTTCTGAATTACAATTGAAAACGGTGTAGTTCGTGGGTGAAATCTCTCAATACTCAATACTTTTTTTCGTTTTTGATGAGTATAACAATAAAATAAAAATACATAATATTATACAACAAAATATTATAACATAATCAGGCAAGATATGTATAAACATGGATTCAATACTATACATTTTTTTTTCATAATCACACAATAACAATCGCAATCACAATGAGAAAAAAAAGTGGTATAATCAGTGGAGGTCAATGATGACAACCAAAATTATAATTATTATGCTAATACAAACTCATGCGTTTAATAGGTTTTTTCTCAATTATTTTTGTATGTCTTCCACAAGTCTATGTAAGAGTGATCTAGAAGAATAAAGCAGACATTTTTTCAATTCTATTTTGTCTCTTATTTTTGTAGGCAGCATTCTGTAAATATATGGAGCAAGATAGATGTATCCTCTTCAACAAACGGAAGTAGGACTTGAAAATCTGAATATTTCTATTGCCGAATCTGGAATTATCCAACAAATTTTTTTGGTACGTTCCGACATATTCGCAAAAACATCGAAATTTTTCAACTTTTTTTGATCTTTCGCTTATAATTTCCAAAAGTATGTGTGATGGCGGAAAAACGACTCATACCATATTCAAAGGATATTGAATTTTTCACAATTTTAGCGTAACCATAGCACCAATTTTTTCAAAAAATTTAAATTCAAGTTTTGGGATAACTTTTGGGCTATATATCCTATGAGGAAAATTGACGGGGATAAATTTGTAGCAAGAATGTATGGTTGACTCATGATTTGCAAAAAACTAGAAAATCAGAAAATTTAATTTTGGTAAGATTCCATCTAAACCCTTTTTATGGCTTGAAAACTTCGCAGTTCTCCAAATTCACTTCACTTGTGTTTTATATATATAAGATGATGAACATAGTGAGAAAAAGTCGATGATTACTGTCATGAATATGTCCAAAAAACTGCATTCCAGAAGGCCGTGATTGCGATTCCACCTCTGGAATTTCTGTAGGAAAAAATGCCTGGGAAAGTGTGAATTGCTCGAAGGGTTGATTGCAGGTGCAACTGGTAAATAGATTATGAAATTTACCTTGAACTGGTGGCTGATGTTTGTCATCTAGATCTTCTTCCTCTTCGAGATAATAGTGATGAACATTACTGCAGGATGCTTCACATGGTTCACCCATATTAAAGCAGTACAGCCCAGCCTTTTAGCACCCGCAAATCACTATAGCACTTGCATGCAACCGGTTGAATTATCTTGTCAGGTACAGGGGACTGGTTGGAAGTAATGGAGTGTAGGCCGTTGCTTATTCGCCTCCATGTAAACTTTTCCAGCTCTTCCCATGAAACTGGTTGACCCAGCCATAGCTGCACTTGCAAAACTCAATATTTGAGGGAGATTTATAAGTTTTTCTAATAGTTCATACCGTAGCTCATCTAGAGGACCTTGCTTGTTTCCACGGTACTATAAGCAGTTATACATTTCTCACCAGCTGTGAAAATTATCTCGACCTCAATGTTTTTGTAATCAAGTTTGAAAAATAGCAAAGAAAGGCTGAGGTCGGGGTTCTTGTCCAAAGTTTTCAAATTGTTGGCCTTCCCTTGGTCACAGTCACTCACAGCGTGCATAAAGGTAATATGTTGAGACAGCTTTTGAATCAAAGCTGTGTTTCGATGAAACCACTTTGAAAAATATCTCTCTCTTCCTTGTTTGTTCAAGTAGAGGTTTGCTGAAGCTTATAAGCCTATCAACAATACAAGGAGTTCAACATCCTCTCCTACAACAGCCACTGTACTGTTGAGATGATAATGATATGGCTGTAGTAACAATCAGTCTGTCAGCATCCTCCTCCGCTCGAAATGACACAATTTTGGTCTCGGTGAACTTTGCCCTTATTAATGAAAACATGCGAGTTTTGTTGTGTTCGTTTGCTAGGAAGTTTTCTTGAGAGACCTTTGGAGACATTGAATATCCGATTGGATTAATAGTATTTTCAAAATTTTGTGTCCATTTAGATCATTCAACCAATCAGCTTCTGAGAGTCTTAATGTAATAGTTTATTTTTAGTAAAGTTGGATATCTGAATTCAACAAAAATGCTGAGAAGGAACCGGGAAGGGCGACCAAAGAGGTAGTTCCCTAGACATCTAAATTATCAACAGTAATTACACATAGGTGGTAATTTTTTCGAACCTTTGTTGCTATAGAAATCTCAAGATTAGAAGAAGTCCACGAGTAGTATTTCTCAATAGCAACAAAGATGTGCTAATCTTGTTGAGATTATAAAAAAAACGCCACGCATGCCATTCGGCGTGATCATGTTTCAACTATTTCCCAAAATGCCCAGCAAAATCGAATATTTTAAAGCCATACACATCGGTTTTGCGTCATTTTTGTTCAAACTGACTGGTTCGTCGAACAAAGCAGCAACCTACCAAGAACGCAGTATATAAGCCCCTTTATGTATTCATTAAAATATTATCGCTGTAATTTGTTACTAAACATTATCAGTATGATATCAGATGAATTACGCATTGATAATGGTTTAAACTTAAACGTCAAATTTTGACACGTGAAAAAAATAATCATTAATATTCTTCACAATAACTATTATAATCTTACATATAAAACATGAATGGAATTAATTCATTAAATAATCGCGAAGTTTTCTAGTCATGAAAAGAGTTCAGAATTATGAGTCAGCCATTTGATCTACCCGCATCGCCACCAATGTGGATTGAATCTGTATTTGCTACAATCCTACTCCTGTCAATTTTCCTCGTAGTATCAGTATTTTTTTCAATATTCAAAAGTTGACTCAAAACTTGAATTTTCATTTTTTGAAAAAATTGGTCCATGTTTGAAGTGACGTATCTCGGAAACTACTGGACCTATGGTGCTGTGGTAAAGCTCAAATTGAGGCAAATTTAATCTTCTTTGAATAAGGTGTCATTCGTTTTTCAAAATCACACGTTTTTTTTAATTATAAGCGAGAAACCAAAAGAAGTGGAAAAACTCTGCTGTTTTTTGCGGATATCAAAACGCACAGGAAATTTTCTTGGATAATAATTCTAGATTCGGATTCAGCAACCTTAAAAATATGGGGAAGGACGATGGAACCGAACGATGGATTAAGGAATTTCTTATCTTCATTTGACTTAAACATCCTATATCTTTCTGTATGGACTCTGAAATATCCATTTTATCGTTTCAATTATTTCCTCTATATGTGAACCTACCTATACCAATCTTTGAAATTGTTGTCCACGGAATCTTTGGTATGTTTATTCTAGAAGGAATTGCGCTCGAGAATGTGCTGTTGGATAGATCATCATGAGAAAATCATGAATATTTGCATTTACTCTATGTCCAGTAGCAATCTATTTTATATTCGATTGATTGGTATTATCTCCATGAAACTATTTTGATTAAAACCAAATATAAATTTTAATTCATGAATGACATTTTATTTTCAAATTTTGTGCATGACATTTCGTTTGGGTTTGGTGTTTCTCAAGTGTTGCCAAATAAAGAATATTCAATTTGATATTCCGAATTAGTTCCAATTTGGGCCACATGCTGCGTAAAATAACCAATATTGAGAACTGTAGGAATACCTATTATAAAATTCATAAGTAAAGTCAAGAAATACGTTTTGATGCAAAGCGAAAACCAAAGCTGACAGAGTTTATAAATTTCCATGGATACTCTCTAAATCATAATAACATATAACTTTTGTACATCCACTATTTGTAACAGTAATTAAATAGTAAATAATTCATGAATTATCATATCAATTATTACTGTCTGGTTTTTCATGTTATTAGTTTTTTTTTATCATTTACTTAACTTATACATGATTATACGTTATTGGTATAAAATATAATACTGAAAGGTGTAATGTAATAACTAAAATGAATGAATAAATGAAGAAATAACTATCACATTAGTGGTATTCTTGACATTTATAATAATTTGATTTGATTTGCTAAAGATGTGCTGTACCTCAATAATTTCGAGATGAAGCATAGGTGAAATATCACTGTTTTCTGTTGATATTTTAATAATGTATCTGATTCATAGAGAACACTTGTCATATTGAATAATTGATCATCTAAATTTTACCAACTACTTCAAATGTTTCATTTATTATGAATAGGTACTCACTCAGCTTTGAATGCACGTTTTACCTGAACTTTCTACGATATTCTTGGAAGCCATGTTGTCAATTCATCATACAAATGTATTACGTCCATGGGCAGTTGCATATTATTGTGTACTTGTCTATGGACATGAGGCTGAACTAAATCGCAAACAAGCAATATTTTGTTTCTGTGATATACACGTTATAATTCATCATTGTTTTCATTTATTATTATAATTATTATCAATGTTTCGACTGACAATGTATAAGCTGATGCCAAATAAAAAAAATTGTATCCTATATTCTCTTCCTAGTCAACAAATAATATTGCCTTATAAACCTCATACAGTAATATAGTATTCAATTGATACTTACCAAACCATTAGGTAAAGTCTGTTGATGTAAGTTGAGGTATTGAAAATGTTGATTGTAACCAGTAGACGGGTACACTCTCATTCGTGGTGCCAAAGTAAACAAATAGCTACTGTCATCGCCGAAGAATTTTGGACCTAATTCCCAATTCGCAGGGGCAAAACCTCCAAACATATAACCATTCTTGTCTTCTAATACCAAAACTGAAGGACCCTGATTCACTATTCTTCCTGAATGAAATTAAGAAAACCCTTGCCAAGTTCTGTCTCTCCAGGATAAGTATTGAATATTCAAAATGTGATTACATACCGATCAACGTTGAAAACGATTCACCGTGAATTTCTGAACTGAAAAGAAACCTCCATTCGTGTTGGTACTGCTGAGGCAGGTGTGCGTTTATAAAAGCTATCTGGTTCAGATCTAAGATACTAGGATAAGAAGGTATGAGGTCGAGACCTCGGCAGTAAGGTACTAAGTTTCTGTCTTTGTCTCGTTCGTTGATAGCCATTTGTTCGTCTGTTGTCACAGTTGTTCCTGAAAAAAACCCAAACTGATAATTTATAGCTTCTCATTGCAAATAATGAAGCGAAGGAAAAATATTTTGTTTTTTAAAATAGAACACTCCATCACCCTCCATCTTATTCCATATATTTTTATTATCATCATTATTATCAGCTGAAAATAAGGACAGAGGCAAAGCCTATCATTATAAGTCTACAAATTTACAATAGAGTTCAAAGTGAGTGATAGCATAGAAACATAAGAATCGAAAATATCGACAATAAAGCAAATCAACACAATAGGTACAGTCCGACATTATCACAACGGCCTCTGTGAGCGAATTCCATAGCCCGAATAACGTATTGGCGAAAAAGTTTTGCCTAACGGTGGACTTGAAGCTTTCACGTCCAAGCTGCATTTTATGTCCTCTCAGCCTGGAGTCCGTGTTCAGCTCAAAAATTTGCTGCATGTCGATGGAGAATGTGTCGTGCAGTGTGCGGTATATCAGAATAGCATCATCCCCTCTGGCTCGTTTGTCTTTGCTGAGGAATCCATCTATCCACCTCAAGAGGTCACCCCAAACTATAAAATGTTCGAGCTTAAAGAGAAGCTTATTCTTGGGTACCTTGTCGAAGGCTTTAGAGAAGTACAAATAAAAAGTCAACAGCTTCTGTTCAATTGTCGAGGCAGCAATGTAAGTTTGTTGTCCTTTTCATAATTTTAGAACATATTGGGACTAAGCTGATTGGCCTGCAATTGTTGGGGTCAAGGTTATCACCTTTCTTGTAAATAGGTGTTACAGATGCCGAGAGCCAGGCAGGAGGAAGAGAATGATGCGTGAAAGAATATTCTTGATCGATTAATTATTAACCTTCTTTTAATTTCGTTAATATATTCTTTCCAAACCTTATATCTGAGAGTCGCTGACTGACATATTTTCAACATTCAAAAATTTTACAGATCATGATTATTGAGTGATCTCAATGGATGTCGTACTATGTCTTGGGTACATCTACATCAAAATGGTGCACCCAATCGAAATTGAACAGAAGGAACTTTTTTAATTGAAACTGGATGCTCTTCCGCATTTTTGCCTAATATTGTGAAAAGGTTCATAACTTGAGAACAAATAAACACAAATGTTACAATAGCGCCCTCGAATTGACATAAGCAGAATTTACTTTGTGCGGTTCTCTCGTAATTATTAAGAAGAAAAAACAGATTTCATTTTCAATTTCTACATCCAGTATCTTGGAAACGGATTAAATTAGGACATAATATGTTTATGAGAACTTTTAGTCCTGAAATGAGTCCAGAAATTACCCCCGTTCCATATGTGCAGGATATTTAGGAACACCCAATACATAAAAACAAATATTTATATAAAGTATAGAACATCATAATGTAGAGAATACAAAAAAATAACAAGAGCAATAAATACAAAAATAATCATTCAATATAAATACTTCATATCAGCATTCATACTATCCCAACCAGCTAGTAATTTTTTAGGTATTTTTTGATTTTTGCTATCTTGATGTTTTTTATTTAATAAGATATGGATTGTATTAAGTAATTCCATCATAAAATGTAGATTGTTTGCCGATGTTAGATTCGCGGTCACCAAAAGTCATTAGATGACGTTCCGATACATTGAAAACTACGGGAAATCATCCCAACTCCTGGCATAGTTTGAAAGTCAGACATGTTTTCCCATAGTTTGGAATGTCATCGCAACGTCGTCTAATGACTTTGGCGACCGCGAATATGATGTATTTGCAATAAATGGATTATGAAATAAAAAAACAATTTAACGCTAAATCATTAACTATCAACCACAAAAAGAAATGTTAAATAATATCGTTTACATATTACTCCAATAACTTACCAGAATTCAACAGTCAAGACTTCAACGAACATGATGGTAATTCAGTATCAATAAAATTAACAGACAGAATGAAATATCTTGGTATTTACATAGACAGTCACTTAAAATGGCAGTACCAGGTGAACTCTGTTCTACAGGAATTGAGAGGCATAGTGTATGGTTTCAGACAATTGAGCAACAACTGATCTTAGTTTATAAATCATTGGTAGAATAAATCCTTTCTTACGGAATAATAGGATGGGGTAGCGTAGGAAGCTCGTATTTGAAGCCACTAGAAAGTATTCAGAAAAAAATCCAAGAAGAGAATATGAGGTACCTCACTAAACTATAAGTATATGCAAGCTTAAATGATGATAATACAAATATAGTTGTTTCAAAAATCAATGACACCCTCGATACATTATTCGTGTATTCGAATAAACATGGTTTGAAATTGAATCCTACCAAATCACAGATGATTTGTTTCGGTCAAAGAGCACATACAATGGATGAAGTGGTGATCAATAGTGTTAGTATTGAGCCTAGTGAAGCAATACAAAATTTGGGACTATTCATTAATGATGTCTTACACATATAAAACATGTAGTTCAGAAAAGCTACATATCTTTGAAGAATTTGTATCGTAATAGGACAATTTTGAACAAAGATTTGAGAAAACAGTTATGTGAATCTCTAGTTTTAAGCCACTCAAACTATGGTGATATAATTTATGGACCTCGTCTATCAAACTTCAGCTAGAATTCATAGAATCCAAAATGCTTATATTCGCTTCGTTTATTCATTGAGAATCCGAGACCACGTAACTCCTTTATTAGCTGAGCTAGGGTGGCTTAACATGAAAAATATAAGGAAACTACATCTAGCATGATATTTCATAAAGTCTTAGCGAAAGGAAGTCCTTCATATACAGGATTAATCAAAAGTATGGAAACATGTGAATATGTCCGTAACCGTTTGTTACATTTTTTTTATTGTGATTTTTAAACGTGGTGGATTTGAAAATATTATCGTCAATGTTGCCACTTTTAAAGTTATTCCGGAACTATTACCAACTTCCATATTTTAAATGGAACACCCTGTATTTCATTGAATTTTCATATTGTCCCTGAAAAGCTGATTTTTTCGATCTATCACACTTGGGACCTAGCGGGAAATATTACAGAGATATAGGATGTTAAAAATCGAGAATTTTTAACTTTAGGTTTTTTTTGTGTCGAAACTATGTACATTTAGATGTTACTACTGCGTTTCTTGAAAGGCTTTGCCTGAATGACTAGAAATAAATGGAGAAACAAATTATTTTTTGAAATTAAATAGAGCAATATACAGTCTCAAACAGGGTTCCGGGCTCCATGATTGTCTCTGTAAAATGATGTGAATTCATTATAAAAACTTATTTAGAAACAATAACTTTATCAGGTTAATTTTGGAGCCTCATCAAACTTAAAGTTTGATTTTTCAAAGTTTAATTATCACCTTTCGGTAATTCAAGGGCACCTGGGCCATTGTAAAATAGGAACCTGACCCTTAACCTTTTTTAAGAAGAATTTCACAACTCTGCCGTTGTTCTATGGACGAAATGGTTTGGTATTCGTATAGAGAAAAGGATGTGTTGACTGAGCTTGCTCCGTTCGTCTCATTGGTATTGCCAGTGATGTCATGATAGCATCAAAAGATACTGACCCCCTATGTGTGGAAACAGTAATTCGAGACGGAATCTTTTCAAAGTGGATGAAAATAATGTTGAAATCATTCCATCAGTAGCAATGCAAGTCAGACGTACTCGACAAGCCCAGTCAGTACATCTTTTCAGCGTCAACCTCGAGATAATATGTCTTAACCAGAACTTGTTTGTCTATAGAACGGCATAGCTTAGGAATTCTTTGCAAAAGGAAGTATTCCCAAGAACTTATAACCTCCAAAAGTTCGGAAAAAAAATTACAACACCGATTTGTTCTCCCCAATTTCCCTAGTTCCGAAGTTCCTAGAACATGATACGGATACCCTTTCGTGGGCTTCGAGAGATAAAAAAAGTTAGTGTGTTAAGATTGTTTCTTAGATTAGTGGCGCGCTTGTCTTGGAACAAAACATACTTCCGAGGGTATACAGGTTGGGGCATTGAAAACGAAACATCGGCTAGTAGGTCGACACAACCGGATTATAAAAAAAAATGTTATTTCAAATGGAATAGGTATATCATTGCATATAAATACCCTCCCTGAAGGGCTCATTTCATCAATGGGTCACACTTGGAGTCTAGCGGAAATTATTACAGGGTAATAGGGTGTTCAAAATCGAGATTCTCCAAGTTTAGGAATTTTTTTATGTGGAAACTATTCATTTTTGATCGAAACGGCTTTCATGTCCCTATCTTAACTTTTGATTTACTATCTACTGATATTTAATTGGAACTGATACAGGGTGGTCAGATTGTTCCGAAACTTTAATGTTTATATCCAGAGTGAGATGTTTATAATTCCTCTGGTGTGGCCACTCTTCAATTGTTTCGTCCGACTAACTCTCGATATGAACAACTGAATGCGAGTTCGGAATGTGGGGTTCTCATATCCGATGATAGAGATGGCGTGAACGATGGACAATTTCTTGGAATTTTTCAAAATGCGTTTCGAATCTTATTATGAGGTTGAACATGACTTACAAGGATGTGTTTTCCTTCTTTCGGGACCCGAAGAGACCCGTTGATGATGCACGAATTCAATAATAGATGAATAGAAGTGGTCCTGATCATGATCCGTAGGGGTAGCAAATGGGGCAGTGATCACGCAATACACAGTCACTCCTGCCCTACTGTCATCCTCACCTACTCGTTGGTGTACCCTCTTGTCTTACAAACGAGGCTCTGGCGACCGGGCCGGGGCGGTATATCCCTTGCTCCAAGTTAAGATGGAACAGCAAGCGCCGAGGACTGCATGAATGAGGGGGAGCTCAATCGCTAGTTTGCGAACTCCGGATACCAGGCGACCTCCGGTTTCAACCAGCCTTCCTGTGGTAATGCGGGGCTCTGCTGCAGGCGACCTTAATTTCCCTAGCTACTCGTGGGATCAATTATGAGTAACATTGAAAAAAACAAAACCACCGTAGAGGACAGTGATGTCGTTCCAGTCGGCCCTGAAGGAATGGAAAT